TTATACACCCCCCTCTCCTTTCCCTTTGACACCCCCATCTCCCTTTTACACCCTCCCCTTTCCCTCCTTTAAACCCTATCCTCCTTATACACCCCTCTCTCCCCCTCCTTTGACACCCTATCTCTCCTTTTACCCCCCTCTCCTTTCCCCAACACCCTATCTCTCCCTTATACACCCTCTCCCTTCCCTTTGAAAAACCCCCATTTCCTTTAAAACCCCCTCCCTTTCCCCTTTAAAACCCTATCTTCCCTTATACACCTCTCCCCTCTCCTTAGACACCCATCTCTCCTTATACACCCTCTCCCCTCTCCTTAAAACCCCTATCTTTCCCCCAACCCCCTCTCCCTCTCCTTTGACACCCCATCTCTCCTTATACACCCCTCTCCTTCTCCTTAACACCCAACTCTCCTTATACACCCTCTCCCCCTCCCTTTAAAACCTATCTCTCCTTTAAAACCCCTTTTTCCCCCCCTCCTTAACACCCTATCTCTCCTTATACCCCTCTCCCCTTCTCCTTAGACACCCATCTCCCTATACACCCCCTCCCTTTTCCTTAGACACCCATCTCTCCTTAGACCCCCTCCCCTCCCCTTCCCCTCCCTCTTTAAAAAACAAAACCCAGAAAGTAGTAAACAGTGAAGTCAGGGGGTGCCACAGGGGAAAACTTGTTCCCCCAAGGCACAGTACTCGCCCCCTTCTGTTTTATTTTGATACGGACAATGACAAAAAAATAAATCACAAAACTAACTTCCCGCTGATGACACCAGAATCTCTGTAAGAGTGTCGCCACGGAAGACACAACTAATCTTTTCCCGCAGATATAAAATCAAATCTTCCCGTGGGTCTCAGACAACAATGTACGTTTAGTGAAGACAAATTTTTCAATTTCCGCCTAAAGGAACGACGGAAATTCCATTTAACCCGGAGTGATAAATTTAAAAGATTTCGCATTTTATCACAACAATAATGCTACCCCAAGAAAACGAAGACTGGATAACTAGAACTTTCAAGACAAGAGATGCTGTGCCAGTGATGATACACAAGTCACCTGTTCTCTCCAGGCTGCTATACTGCTACACTAACAGCCTCCTTCAAGGCAGGCAAGATTAAGAATTAGGAATATGTACATTATCCGGGTATCTTGTAGACGTTTCGCCAACACGTAGCTTTATCAATACAAGAACATAATGTGAAGAATTATATACAAAAGATGAGGTAATCAGTCCCTCAGAGGGACTAGTGGCTCTGGTGGCCTGGTGGTTAACGCTCTCGCTTCACACGGTGAGGGTCTGGGTTCGATTCCCAGCCAGAGTAAAAACATTGGACGTGTTTCTTTCCACCTGTTGTCTATGTTCCCCATCAGTAAAATGGGTACCTGGGTGTTAGTCGACTGGTGTGGGTCGCATCCTGGGACACTGACCTAAGGAGGCCTGGTCACAGACCGGGCCGCGGGGGCGTTGACCCCCGGAACTCTCTCCAGGTAAACTCCAGGTAAATTGTGGGTACTGTATACCGTATGTGTACAGCAGGCAAAACTGCTGAGCAGGACAATGTACACACAACTATCACTACCCAAATACGAATTTACACCTGGAAAATCCTGGAAACGTGACAGGTACACTTAAAAGAGAACTTGGTAAGTGTCAGAGGTCCCCGACTCTTCAACGCCCTCCCTTCATACATAAGGGATTGCTAAACTTCTGGCTGTCTTCAAGAGGGAACTGGATAAATTCTTCAAATAATTTCCTGACCAGCCGAGTGGTGGTTCTCATGATGAACTGTGTGCAGCATGCAAGAACAGCTTGGATGATCAGGCCTTGATCCAGCAGGAGGCCTGGTCTGGGACTGAGCCGCGGGGGTGCTGACCCCCAGAAACATCCTACAGGTATCTTCCAGGTCCTATCCCTCCACCATTCTATTGGGGCCCTGAAGATTGTTATGGGGGGCCCCTTCGCAACCCTTTCTCAGAGACCCAAAATTTTTAAATAATGTGGGCTAAAGTCACTTCTGGGGCCCTGAATTAGGGGCCCTGAAGCTTAAGTTCATTAGTTTCATAGTAGTTCCGGCCCTGGATAAAGCTCCACACAGAGTGAACTCTGAGCTTGTGTAACGAACATTACTGAACAGGATAGAAAGTCTTGGACATCACACTGTAGGCAGTCTGGCTGCTAGCTGGCACTGCTGGCACTGCTAGCACTACTGTCACTGCTAGCACTGCTGGCACTGCTAGCACTGCTGGCACTGCTAGCACTGCTGGCACTGCTAGCACTACTGGCACTGCTAGCACTGCTGGCACTGCTAGCACTGCTGGCACTGCTAGCACTGCTGGCACTGCTAGCACTGCTGGCACTGCTAGCACTGCTGGCACTGCTAGCACTACTGGCACTGCTAGCACTGCTGGCACTGCTAGCACTGCTGGCACTGCTAGCACTGCTGGTACTGCTAGCACTGCTGGCACTGCTAGCACTGCTGGCACTGCTAGCACTGCTGGTACTGCTGGCCCTGCTGGTACTGCTAGCACTACTGTCACTGCTAGTACTGCTGGCACTGCTAGCACTGCTGGTACTGCTAGCACTACTGTCACTGCTAGCACTGCTGGCACTGCTAGCACTGCTGGTACTGCTAGCACTACTGTCACTGCTAGCACTGCTGGCACTGCTGGCCCTGCTGGTACTGCTAGCACTACTGTCACTGCTAGCACTGCTGGCCCTGCTGGTACTGCTAGCACTACTGTCACTGCTAGCACTGCTGGCACTGCTAGCACTGCTGGTACTGCTAGCACTGCTAGCACTGCTGGCACTGCTAGCACTGCTGGCACTGCTAGCACTGCTGGCACTGCTGGCCCTGCTGGTACTGCTAGCACTACTGTCACTGCTAGCACTGCTGGTACTGCTAGCACTACTGTCACTGCTAGCACTGCTGGCCCTGCTGGTACTGCTAGCACTACTGTCACTGCTAGCACTGCTGGCACTGCTAGCACTGCTGGCACTGCTAGCACTGCTGTCACTGCTAGCACTGCTGGCACTGCTAGCACTACTGTCACTGCTAGCACTGCTGGCACTGCTAGCACTACTGTCACTGCTAGCACTACTGTCACTGCTAGCACTGCTGGCACTGCTAGCACTGCTGTCACTGCTAGCACTGCTGGCACTGCTAGCACTACTGTCACTGCTAGCACTGCTGGCACTGCTAGCACTACTGTCACTGCTAGCACTACTGTCACTGCTAGCACTGCTGGCACTGCTAGCACTACTGTCACTGCTAGCACTACTGTCACTGCTAGCACTACTGTCACTGCTAGCACTACTGTCACTGCTAGCACTGCTAGCACTACTGGCACTGCTAGCACTGCTAGCACTACTGTCACTGCTAGCACTGCTAGCACTACTGGCACTGCTGGCACCTCAACCTCACCCCATTTTCTGTTGACACTAACAGATTCATCTCTTACATTATATGTCATCAGGAAACATTACACATATTTAAATCTATATTATTATTATTATTATTATTATTATTATTATTATTATTATTATTATTATTATTATTATTATCATTATTATCATTATCTAATTGAAGACACTCTTTACATTCCAGGTGAGGAACTCAAAGAGTACAGAACAAGTCTGAGTACATAGATAATTGTGTGTGTGTGTGTGTGTGTGTGTGTGTGTGTGTGTGTGTGTGTGTGTGTGTGTGTGTGTTGTGTGTACAGCTACCTTTAACCACTAACAATACAACAGGAACACTAACAGATAACAGACACTGGCTGAAGTTCACGACGCCCTGAAATTCTTTTCTCAGATATTCATTTTCACTGCTAAGTGGGCAGTGACAACAGTGACAACAGGGGCAGCAGGGGGCGTCAATACGGGGATCGAACCCGTCACCTATCGTTTGCAAGAAGAATTCTCTCACTTCTAAGTTACGTGTTGAGGTGGTGACGGTGGTAGTTGTTGTTGTGGTGGTGGTGGTGGTAGTTGTGGTAGTGGTGCTGGAAGAAGGTGGTGGTAGTTGTGGTAGTGGTGCAGGAAGGAGGTAGTGGTGGTGGGGGGGAGGACGGGGGGAAGGGGTCGGCTCATTACACACACACACACACACACACACACAAACACACTGGCACCCTCCCTGTCCACTACACACTGTGGCACCCATATTGTCCACTACATACTGTGGCACCCATATTGTCCACTACATACTGTGGCACCCATATTGTCCACTACACACTGTGACACCCACACTGTCCACTACACACTGTCCACTACACATTGTGGCACCCACACTGTCCACTACACACTGTGACACCCACACTGCCCACTACACATTGTGGCACCCACACTGTCTACTACACACTGACACTCTCCTGTTTTATGAGTCTGGACCGGAAGACTGTTAAATATTTTGCACTCTGGCAGACTTGTTGGTCTTTCCAAAACAGGTAAGATAACTGTCTTAACACGTAAGATAAGTGTCTTAAGAACACGTAAGATAACTGTCTTAACACGTAAGATAACTGTCTTAACACGTAAGATAACTGTCTTAAAAACACGTAAGATAAGTGTCTTAAGAACACGTAAGATAACTGTCTTAACACGTAAGATAACTGTTTTAAGAACACGTAAGATAAGTGTCTTAAGAACACGTAAGATAACTGCCTTAACACGTAAGATAACTGTCTTAAGAACAAGTAAGATAACTGCCTTAACACGTAAGATAACTGTCTTAAGAAAAAAGTAAGATAACTGTCTTTAAAAACCAAATAAGATAACTGTCTTAACACGTAAGATAACTGTCTTAAGAACAAGTAAGATAACTGCCTTAACACGTAAGATAACTGTCTTAAGAACAAGTAAGATAACTGTCTTAAGAACAAGATAACTGTCTTAACACGTAAGATAACTGTCTTAAGAACAAGTAAGATAACTATCTTAAGAACAAGTAGATAGATAACTATCTTAAGAACACGTAAGATAACTTCTTCAAGAATATGTTAAGATAACTTTTCTGACAACTCTTCACTGTCCACTGCATGTGACACTGTCCACTACATTGGGCACTACACCGGGCACTACACTGGGCACTACACCGGGCACTACGACACACACGAGGCAGCAGAGGGCAGAAGAGAGGGTATGGGGGTGTCGCCTCTGGCACTGGGCACTGAAGCACTCAGTCAGGGTGCCCAAGCTAGACTGAACGCCCCTCCCACCTATCATCATGGGGCAGTGCCAACTATACCCCCCTAACCCCCACAAGGCACTCCTCTCCCTCCCTCCCCACCCTACCATCTATTATCCTCCCCACTCATCCTCTTCCCATCCACCCCACTCAAAAACCCGTCCCCCCCCCAAAAATCTCCCCCTGCCCAATGTACCCCCCCCCTTCTCACCCTACCTTTCATGTGTGTACTCCCTTTTTTTGTGGTGCAGGGGTCGAGTCTTAGCCCCTGGCCCGTGTGGTGTGTAAGATAGCAGGGACTCTCTCCCACAGAACAGACAGACACAACACGCTGTCTGTGAACCTTCGTTTTACCGCCTCACAGACTGCTCATTTTACCTGCGAATCTCCGTCCATTCTTGTTTTGATTCATGATGTAATGTAACATTTATATGAAACATATGTGTATGTATGTGTGTATCAATGTATGTTCGTGTATCAGTGTATGTATAGTGTGTGTATATGTGATCCATGTATGTGGACAATCATATAAAAAGTGTGCAACACAGAGAGAGAGAGGTGAGAGGGGGAAGAGAGAGGAGAGAGAAGAGGAGAGGGGGAGAAAAGGGGAGAGGGGGAGGAGAGAGAGAGACAGACAGACAGACGCAGACGGAGAGACAGACAAGAGACAGAAGAGAGACAGACGGGGAAGAAGATGAAGACAGAACGTAATTTACACGCCCAATAATACGGTCCAACAATGCCTTCAAACTTATTGGTAAAACTCAAAATCATTGTGGGGTCCAGCAGTCAGAAATGGTGCGCTCTTTTGGTCACAATACCGTCCACACACCACATTCCGGCAGGGTATTAAGTTGATTGTTCCTTCGGTGTCCCCCGCACCCCTGCTTTTTCCCTAATACTCTCCCTCCGTTGTTGTTAAAAACGTGCAGGGTTGTGCCGGACCCCAGTATAACCGGGTATGTTTTACATGTATGGACTCATTTTAAAGTCGCAAGGTAAAACCCAAAGAGTGAACGGGAGTCCACACCATACTTTCCCAACAGTCCCCACCATACATTACCATAATGTCCCACACCATACATTTAACTTGTCCCACACCTTTACATTACTATCTGTCCCACACCATACATTACCTCATGTCCCACACCAACATTACTAAACTTGGGCCCACCCCATTTTTACTTACATGTCCCACACCATCTTCCTACTATTTCCCCACCATAATTACTTACTATACCCACACCATACTTACTATTTGTCCCCCCACCATACTTCCCCAAACTATGTCCCACCCTACTACTATACTTGCCCCCCACCCCTACATTACCAACTTGCCCCACACCATACATTACTATACTATGTCCCCAACCCTACATTTCCATATAGACCCCCCTACATTCCCTTACTTGCCCCACCATACTTTTCCGACGTCCCCACCTACATTCCAACTTTTCCCCACCTACATTCCAAACATGTCCACCCAACTTAATACTATGCCCCAAACCCCAAAATTTACCATACTATGACCCCACCATATTTTCCATATTGTCCCCACCATACTTACCATACATTCCCACCCATACTTTCCAACTATGCCCCACCATACATTCCCTACATGCCCACACCATACTTACCTACTTAAACCCACACCATACATTACATACTGTCCCACACCATACATTACCATACTATGTCCCACACCATACATTACCATACTATGTCCCACACCATACATTACCATACTATGTCCCACACCATACATTACCATACTGTCCCACACCATACATTACCATACTATGTCCCACACCTTACATTACCATACAGTCCCACCCAACATTCCCATATGTCCCCACCAAATTTTACCATATATGCCCCACCAACATTCCTACTAGCCCCACCCAACATTACCATACTATGTCCCCCCCATACTTACCATACTGTCCCACCCATACTTTTACCTACTATGTCCCACCCAACATTCCATACTGCCCCAACCATCATTACCTACTGTCCACACATACTTACTAAAATATTCCCACACCAAAAATTACCATCTTGTCCCAAAAAAAAAAAACCATACTTTTACCTACATGCCCACACCATACTTACCAACTGTCCACACCATACTTCCATTTGTCCCACACCATAATTCCATATGCCCCCAACCATACATTCCATACTATTTTCCCACACCATACTTACCATACTGTCCACACCTTACTTTCCCCATACTATGTCCCACCCCATACATTACCATACATGCCCACCCTAATTACCTACAGTCCCACCAAATTTTAACCATACTATGCCCCACACCAACTTTACCATACTATGCCCCACACCTTCTTACCTACTGTCCCAACCAAATTACCATCTATGTCCCACACCAATTACCATCTTGCCCCCACACCTACTTACCTACTATGTCCCACCATACATTACCATACGTCCCACCCAAAAATTTTTTACCTACTGCCCCCAAAACCATACATTCCTATTGCCCCACACCATACATTCCATACTGCCCACCCCATAATTACCATACTATGCCCCACACCTACTTACCATACTATGTCCCACACCAACTTTACCATACTGTCCCCACCATACTTCCATACTGTCCCACCCATACTTACCATACATGCCCACACCATACTTTACCAAGTCCCACACCATACTTTACCTACTTGTCCCACCCCATACATACCAACTATGCCCCACCCAAAACATTACCTACTATGCCCCACACCAACATTCCCTACTTGTCCCACCCATACATTACCTACTGCCCACACCATACATTCCAACTTCCCCCCCCATACATTCCCAACTATTCCCACCCATCATACCAATATGTCCCACCCCATCATTCCCATACTGTCCCACACCTACATTCCATATGTCCCACACCATACATTACCTTAGTCCCCACCAACTTTTCCATACTGTCCCACACCTATTTTTCCATTGTCACACACCAACATTCCCATACTGTCCCACACATTTCCTTTTCTCACTGAGCAAATTTCCAGCGCAGAATTTCCACCTTCAGCGCCACCAACACATTACACATTCCCACGACCTGATTTCCCCACGCCCAGCTTTCCCACGCCCTCTTTCCCCACACCTGGTTTTCCAGGCCCTGACGTTCCATTCCTTTTCCACCATCTTCGGAAAACTCTCCCCCATCTTTCACAGTGCCCCAAATTCCAGAGACCAATTTTTTTTCTCCATATCTTGGATAATACCCCTCTCTCTTCTCTCTCTCTCTCTCTCCCCTCCTTCTCTCTCTCTTTTCCTCTCTCTCGTTCTTTATTTTTCTGGCTATTGTTCAATATTCAAAACAATATTGCAATTTCTTTTTGTGTGGGGGGTGAGTCATAGTCCTCCCCCGCCTTTTCCCCTGGTCGCTACTAGGTCCACTCTCCCCCTGCACCCGAATTTTATCTACCCTTCTTAAGACTATGTATGGTTCCTCCCTCCACTAATCACTTTCCAGTTTTCCCATTTCCTGGAAATCTGTGACTAAAGATATATTCCTAACATCCCTGTGACTCTCTGAGTCTTATTTTCCCAAATTGTTTTCCCTTGTTTTGTGCCCAATCTCTGGAACTTTTTTCTCTGCCCACCTTGTCAGTGTCCTAAGTATTTTTTATGTCGTTATCTGTCCCCCCCTGTCCTCCAGTTTCGTCAGGTTTTAGTTCCCCTTTAACCTCTTTCTAAGCATACCCCTCGCTCCGGGGGTAGTCTTGTTGCAAACCCCTTTTTACCTAATTTTTTTGGCGTGGTTAACCAGGTGTGTGTGTGTGTGTGTGTGTGTGTGTGTGGGTGTTGTGGTGTGTGTGTGTGTGTGTTGTGTGTGTGTTGTGTTTGTGGGGTTGGTCACACGAAGGCAGTTCGAGTTTTAAATCTGTTTGTATTTTCAAAACTTGATTTAACTTCTGTAAGTTTTTTTTGAGGCCCGAGTGTTTGTTTTGTTGCTGAAGAGAGAGAGAGAGGGGAGAGAAAGAGGGGAGAGAGAGAGAGAGAGGGGAGAGAGAAGAGGAGAGGGAGAGAGAGAGAGGATTTAGTGGAGAAAGAGTAATTATAACCAGGGAGTGACTCGGGGATTGCCCGGTAAGTATCTTTGTGAATAAATCAATACACGACGCCGAAAAAGAAAACCACCCTGACGAACACAGGAGGGAACTGCAAAATGACGCAAACACAGCGTCCAGGGAAGACGCAACTGCAACGAGTGACGCAACAATTACAGCGGCCATTAACCGGGGGGGCCCGGGTACCCCGCGCTAATACCCGCTAACTACCCCACTAACGACCCATAACTACACATGTTGCAGTGATCACCAATCACACCCCCGGTAGCTTGGGGGGGGGGGGGGGAGTAGGCACCTCAGGGAGAGAGGGGGAGGAGGAGGGTTTTTGGGGGGGGGAAAAGGGAGGGGAGAGAGAGGGGGGG